AAGAAATCTCTTTGGACAAGCGAGGAGGAAAAACACAAGGTGTGGATCTAAGGTGACTCTCTTGAGGACAGTGTTAGCAGATCAAGTGAGGAGCGTAGGGTCCTTTTGAAGGACGACCCTGGTGGCTGCGACCGCTGGCAAGGAGTCTGCTGATTCACAGAGGAGTTTTCTCTGGGGCTGAATGGGGTCTTTCCGCTTAGTTGTTTCACAGATCTAACACTGAAATTTTCGGCACTGGGGGGAGAGAGGATCACTCCAGCTGTTTCTTGACAGCTTCCATTTCTTGAAGATGGACAGAAAAATACTTATCTGCTGAAATGGCAAAGGAATATCTCTGAGGAGGAAGCCCTGGAATTTTCTCAGCATCTTTTGTAGCAGAAGAGACATCATATCATATCAGAGTTGTTTCCAAATAATTTCTGTAGATAACGATGGACTTAGATCTTTAAAATAAAACAAATTGTTTAGAACACAGCAGTGAATGAAACGTTACAGGATTCTCTTTTCCCTTGCCATAGACTAGGTGTCTTTCAAAAGATGGTGCTATAAGAAATGCTACAATATGTTTTTGTTAAGTTTCTCTATCTAAGCAATTATGGACTGTCACTACTGTATCAGAGTGACTGGGAATGAAACGAATAGAGACATCATTAAATCAGGTGTCACCCCTCCTTCTTTGTCAAGAGAATGCTTTTCACAAAAGTTTATGTGACTAGTTTGTACTTTTATTGCAAACTTTCAAACTGCCACCAGAAAGCTCGATCCTATAAAGAATTGAGTGTTTTGGCCCTGATCCAGAAAACCACTTAAGCACATTCCAAAGTGTTTTGCTGGATCAGGTCCAGAGTTTAGCAGTTTAGAGTAAGCTCTGGATGGTAGGGGCCTTTTGTGTTTTTTTTTGGTATTTAGAAAGGAATCTCAATGATACTTTATTTCAGTGTAAATATGATGAAATAAAACAATAGATGACCCTAAGAAGAAAGGCCAAAACATGAACAGACTGAAAATGTCTTTGTAGAAATGTAATGAAAACTTCCATGAGAACCTCCTCCTTCGTGGAACGGGACCGCAATTAACTGGGGAAACAGAAGGTAGAATTTGTCTTAGTCCTAGTTCAAGCCACAGTTCAGTTTCAAAGGTGCTATTGGTTTCACTCAAACTATGGTTTTACCAGGCTACTTGTGGATTTTGTGGGTAAATACTCTACAGTGAATTAGATGATTAGAAATAATCTATGGTGAAAAGATTGTTTAGTATTATTTAATAATCTTTTCCTCTTTGGAAATGACCTAGGAAGTTCTTAAAATTGTCATAATTATTTAGGGATAAAAGTGAATTCAGAACAACATTTTAGGTAGTAAGTCACTGTCCCTAGATTGCACTCAAACAGCCTATCTGGTCTTTTTGAGAAGTGGTAGTTGGTTTTTGTTAGGTTTGGTTGAAGTCAAAAAAAAAAGTATGCTTCTTTTCATTGACTAGATGAATTAGGTCAGAAATATGTTTCTAATGGGCAATAAAATCCAAATCAGTCCTCAAAGTCTCTATTTAAATCAATGCCTCACTGTGCAGAGACTAACAATGAGTTAGTAGTAATGAATTCCTGAAAAAAAGAGGGACGATTTAAAGAACAAATGGGAGCACAGAAAGAAATGAAATTGGACATCAGGTTATTGTATTTTACTTCATTAATGTTAAAATAGCATTTGTGAGATGGTTGTCCCTTCACTTTGGGATGCCAGGCATATGCAATGGAGGCTTTGCCTTAGTAGAAAGTATGATGATGGTTTAGTGCTTAGATGCAAGAATAATTCTGGTAGGAGATAGATACCCCTTAGCTAAGGGAAGCGGTGAGGGGGAGGGAAGTGGCTGAGGCTGAATTTAACAAAACTAGACTTGCCCAGAAACTTGCAAGCGCTCACAGAGTGGATTTTTAATGCTGCAGGTGACATTGTTGCTGACTGAAGAATGTTCGTCAAATCAGAAAACTGCTGATAAGCTGACTTTCCTAAAAAGGAATCTCACAAACTTCTCTTATAAATCTCTGCCTTTCATGGTACGCTGTGAGGTGAGGTAAAGGACTTGTGACAGATATTTAGGTTTTGCTTCAGTTTATTAGGGTAATCGAAGGGAGCTATAGAGAGGAAATCTTGAAACATCTCTTTTATGGTCTATTTATTAAAATCTGTATGAAAGAATGAAATTACTTGTGCGTAGGCTTTCCTTTGAATGTTTGGGTAACTCAGAAACATGCCCTTGAAAATTTTTAGCTTTTGTTTAAATTTGCATTTTTGCTATACTAAAGGAATACTGAAAATTTGTTTATAAATGTGAGTATTTTGACTTACGGTCATCCCGGTTCTTCTGCTAAGTATGTATTAATACTGAACTGAATATATCGCAAAGAAAGTGACATGACTACCTCATCTGGTAGTCTGGATATTTGCAAAATATATTTATTATCAAATTTGTATGAAGCCTAATGGAATTTTAGAAAATCCATCTTATTAAAAACTATATTGTCGTCGTTGTTGCTGCAAAATCTTGTCACACTATTTTGGTTCTATTTTTCAAAGTTTCATTCCTAAACTAAGAGATTGCTAGAAATGAGTAAGAACTTTGTTGGAGTTTCCATTAATTCCTTTGGTAGGCCAAACATTTGGAATGCTTTACCGGAAGAGCTTACATAGCTGTGGATTTTGGTTATAATTCTCTAACTAGATTCAGACTTGGGAGCTTCAGGACTTTCTTGTGTGAGTTTACTTTGCAGCCCAGCAATGTTATCTGATGCGATTTCTTTTATTTTGCCCTGTAAGAGAAACATTTACCATTTTAGCAAAATTGTAAAAGAGTCACGCTGAATAATCAGGTAAGAGGCCTGTTCTTTCTCATTGTGCCTGTATATTTTGCCTTTAAATTTCTCCTTTGCATACATGGAAGAGTTTTCAGAGTATATAAAGCATCTGTAACTGGAATCTAATTTTTTTCCCTTTCCTTTCATGTTTCCTGGAAATCTTACTATTGTCACTTTATTATACTACTAATAATAATTTGCTAGTACTACTGAAATAGTGTCTTTTTATTATCACCTTCCTTCAGTTGGTTGTGGATGGATTTAGTGCCTCTGATATATTCTTTTTAGTATGTATAAAATTGTGAGCATTTCTCTTTCTAATGCTCTGATCACTGAACGTAAGACCAGACTGAAAGCTCTGATCAATGCTCTACACTTCACAAAGTTGCTTGTAGGGCCCCCAACAGACACATATGGCTCCTGGAGATACTAGCTGAATGTTAAAATAGATATTGTGGAGTAGTGGTGTGTCTTGTTATTTAACTTGGATGAGTGAATAATATATTTTTAAAAGCATCAGTAGGCAATATGCTTTGCTGTATGTTAAAGAATAATTAGAATGAGATATCCGGGTAAGAAAGACTTCTTATGAGCTAGACCTGAATAGTTCAGTTATATGCCTTATGTGCTATAGGACCTTCAGAGTTATTGAATAGCAAAGATAAAGAAAAAGATAAATTGAATTAATTTATTTTGAATTTATATACATGCCTCTGCTTGCATTAATATTAAGTTCCATCCAAAATCTAAACAGAAAGATCATAATCTTAGAAGTTCTCTCAATAGCATCAGCAAATCATTCTTGTTTACCCTACATGCTAATAAAACAGGAACATGACACTCCTGAAAACAAGATTGCAAAATACAGAAAATGTGGTCTGACATTTTTTTTCTCCCCAAAGGAGGGACTGCCACTAACTAAAGTATTTCTTATGAAAGCTCGATTGCTTAAGATGCAGAATATTAAGAGAGAAAAACACTTTAGGACACAGCCATGTCACCAGCTGTTACTCACCCTTAATGAAATTGTTAAGTGATATTCTTCGTAAATAGGTCAGAGAAACTTTTGAATTGTGAAGAATGTTTTATCTCTTTCTTTGAAATGTTTGTATTAAATTTAGAACCGGTAATTCATTAAGCTCATTAGCTCTGACTAGGAGGGTAGAGCAATATCTAGGATATAGATTTCAAGGCTCACAAATGTTAGTGCTTACAAATAAACATGAAAGCAATGTGTGGAGGAAAAAAATATGGGATCATAATATGTTTAACTGTTTTCTGAGCGTGGCCCTCTGGATTAATTAAGAACATTTTCTATATTCAGACAGTAAAATATAAACAGAATACATTATGACTCTCAGTTAACTCTGTTTTAATAGGGAAAAGGGGAATGCCTTATGAATACAGTGAAAACTAGATGAAATCATATTTTTATTTGTATTTTTTGTTTCAGTTAAGAGATAACCTTAGTTGCAGGTTTGCAAGGATGCTGCACCTATTTAACCTGTTTCTGGTACACTCTAACAATTTTCCAGATTTCAGATACAGATAATTATATAGCCCCCCTCCTGGAAAAGAGGGAACTGAGAAAATCAAGGACTTGGTCCTTGGGAACTGTGGTGGAATCGGAGATGAACATTGTTGTATTCTTCCAGTCATGGAGAGTTTGAAATAGCTTTAAAGCATTTTAAATATCCTAGTTACATTCAGTTCTATTCCCGTTTATGTTGTAGCTGCTTGTTCTATCAGTGATTTGCTATGTGGCTTTGAGGTTATAATGAATATCTCATTCCCCCATCTTCTGTAAAATGGGCACAACAGCACCTAGCTGATTAAACAGACGTTGGTGGAAACAAAGTAATTTCAAACAATTGTTATCAATCATGTAATTCTTAGCTTAACTTGCCAACGTTACTTTGCAAAGAAGCACACAGATGCTAGAGGTCTTCTGAGTCTGGTAGCTGTGCACCTCAAATATACAGAGCTCAGAGGAGCACCACTTTTCACAGAAAAGTGGTGCTAAAACAAGCTGGGTTTTCCAGACTACATACAGTGCATGCTGTTTGTGTCCAGGGATTATATTAGTTGGTCCCTTTTTACCTACATGTATTTGAATCCTCTCTAAATTTAAATCCTTGCATTGTTTTAGGTAAGCCGTCATAGAAGAAATCATTCCCAACACAACTTAACACTTGCAGACATCATTAGTACACAGGACCACACGGTAAGCAAGTGCTCTACAGAACTGACAAATTGCTCTTGTTGTTATTTTAAATGTTTTTAATGTAAATGTTACACATGCTTTCTTAAAGAATAAATACATGAGGCTTTCGAGGCCTCAAGACATTAAGGGATTTGAGGGAGTTTGATTAATCAATACAAAGAATAATTTTAGAAGATAGAAAGCAATTTATGTAGCTTGCCTTTGCTCTTAACTCAGTCATACTAGACTGACATTTCATCAGTGTTAATATTTGGTGTAAAGGAATGTAATGATGTCTTTGCCCATGCTAATGTGTTTTTAATATTAATTTTATTTTTATAAATAAAAGGGACCACTAAATTTATTACAATTTTTCTGACACTCTAAGAAACTAAGGAGGAGTGAGAAGAAGACAGTATTTTGTCTGTTAAAATAAAATGAATGTGCCAATACAGATTCATGAAAGAAATGTTAAAATCAGTGGTACTTTTACCTACACAATTTTCAGAATTAGATAAGAATATAATTTTCTCTATTAGTTCTATAGAGACAATGCAGAATACTGTAGTTCTATAGAGACAATGTCTTTCTATAAAGACAATGTAGTAATAATTACTTTTTCTTATACTATTTCTAATAGTTCATATGAGTCTTTGGTTTATTAAAACTAGATAAAAATTCAAATATATATGCATGCATGCTCCCATATTTAATACTTTTCTAAATTACAAATTTAAAAAAAATCCAACAACTCCATTCCTATACTTCTATGCTAATTCTTTCAGGATATTTTGGATCATTTTTCAACCTTGCTTCTGTTGAAAAGGTTCAGGAAGGGCATCAGCTGAACAAGAAATGATGATATTTACTGAGACAGAAAGAAGATAACGTATTGTTAGGATATGTTAGTATTCTTTTTAATATTATCCATTTGCAGAAGTGCTGAAAGTAGATTCTGGCCTGTTTTGGAAGCATTTTCTTGGAAACACATTCCACAGAAAAAGTTACCAACAGATGTGAAATAAGGGCATATATAGCTCTCCACAAAGAGATTGTGTAAATATTTGGGTGATCCTTGAAAGCCTTTTTATTTGTCTTTGTGATAAAGTTATTTTATAATTCCCTGAATATTCTTTATCCTAACTATAGAAAAAATTGTATACGTTATCAATTTAGTAAAGGCTATTATTATTTAATTACACTAATTCCATAAAAATGATGTATTAAAAAGTCACTTTGTTTAACACTAGGAGAGCTCTCATATTACCTGAAGATCTTGCGATTTTTAGCTCTTTAATTTAAAACAAATGATGGATTTGATATAAGGTATCCTGATTTAAATTATATATATGTCTAACATTTGGTAGTGGATTTGATGGTCCAGCTCAAGATCATTATAAGAAAAATCTGACTGCAGGACATTTTCATCTGGAAAAACATCCAATATTTAACCCAAAATGTCAGCCCAGAGGTGATTCGGGTCTGACGTTGAAAATCACATTTGCCTTTAGTTTTGAATTGGTTAAAATAACAATCTGGGAAGAGTGGCTGGTAAACTTTGAAAGGATTAGGTTTTGGGTCTGATTCAGAGAAGCAATCAACAGCTTGAATGGTTAGCCAATGCTCCTCCCGATTTCTGTTTCCAGATGGATGGAAATATTAAAAGAATAACCTTTCTTGTATGTTATTTGGCATCTCTGGCCCTGGCCAAGCATCAAAAGTATTACGCCACAAAAATGAAGGCTTAGAAGGGGGAGAAAATTAACCAAAGATGTAAAGTAAATTTCATTTAAAAAAAAAAAAAAGTAGGTGGAGATCAGGTTTACCCCTTATTTTAGCTCTAATAATTCACCCATCCATCACTAGATAAATAGTGACATGACTCTGCCCAATAATCCCTACATACTTTCTCTCTGGGTTTTCTATGGCAATGATATGCATGACAGGAATTTGCATGAGATAAGTGCAAATTGTGGAATATGCACTCACAAATCCCTGTACACCCATTTGAGAATTTCACCTAAATCATTGTCTAGAGACCTATGGACTTTTTCATAGGTGTAAACAGATACGTGAGCAGTGTGTATGTATTTCATGATGTGCTTTATACCAGCAATAGACAAAATCTATGGAAATTGTTAAATATAATGATGATAATCTAAGGTATTTAAATAACAGGCATTTAAAAAAAAAAAAAACTTTAGGTTGGATGTTAAAGTATGTCTTATTGCTATTTAATAACTTTGCCAGTGGCAAAATTCTATTGAAATTGTTATGAAATCACCTATGACACAACTAACTATGAAGAACATGTAGTGTAATATCGTCATCAGGCACTGATTCAGTAATCGGGCACTGATTCAGTAATCACACTGAAAGGGAAAACCAACACTCTCTGAATCATGATTTTGTTTCTTGAAGCACTTAGGCAACCTGACACAATTTGGACCTCCTTAGCTAAGGAGATCTGATGGGAAGGCAGATCAATGGGTTTGGCTGAAGAGCAGTGGGTTCTTTTTTTTGTTTGTTTGTTTTTAAGTTCTCTGATATGTATTACCATAGTGAAACGTTTAATCCAAAATTCTATATCACTTTTTGCTATGGGTACTGCAGGTACATAAGGGATGTTCCAGTAGGTTGTGCAGAACCATATATCTAATGTAGGGACTATTATTTTTTCCTGCTAGTTTAAGGAAAGTGTGTCTAGAGATATGGAGGAGAGCAAATTAAGAAGGAGAAATGAAAGCAAAGAACAAGCCTAGGATTTGCTTCTAATATGCCAAAACTCAATGCAATGTTGATACACTTGGCTGCAACATCCGGTTGCAGGGTATGTCAGAAGAGTCCTTCCCTCTTCTGCTGTGTCAGAACAACTACCAAGTCTTAGTAAAACAATAGCAGAGTAGGTGATCTACAAAGCTGAGATAATATTGCCAATATAGACACATCCTGGTTTTATGTAGGCAATAGATAAAGGCTTTGGGCTTTTTGGATGAGTTTTGGAACGTGTACAACACTGCTGTGTTTTCCTTTGTTTAGAATGCCAATTTAAGATTGTATATCACGAATTGACAGAACCACTCAATTTGCTTTTCTGCATTTGCATGATCTGCAATGAGATCATTTAGTTCAGCTAGAAACTTGAAGACAAGTTATCCCTGCTTGTGAATGCACACAGTCCGATGAAGCATGACCTTTTTAGGGCTGTAAGGGGTGAGAGCCTCACTACCATATCTCATCTGAAAGACAGCACCACTTAAAAGCATAATGCCTTTTAGCATCTTGCATGTATCTTGAGTTAGTACTGACTCAGAGCAAAATGTGGCACCTATGAAGGCCCTTGAACTTTTCCTGTTGCACCAATATTTGATGTTTCTCTCATATCTGTTATCCCTAAACATGATGTTTTTTAGAATATAAGAATTGAGAGGCTTGTACAGGAGATTTTGACATATCCTTCAGGGCTAATAAGCAAACAAAGTCCTACAACTCAGTGGATTAATATATGAAATGATACCTTGACATAGTTTATCTACAATTTATTTATTTTACTTATGGCTGGAAACTTTGTTTGCATTAAAAGTAGTTTCTGCTAAGACAACAAAGTGGATATTATAGGGTTTTTTTTTCCCCCAGCGTTAATTCTGTATACTACTTGACTTTAAAAGCACTTTGCAAATTTCAAAAGAACTGGCTGGAACAGGAAGAATAGATGACTAAACTAAGAATTAGTGATTAAATGTCCTGAAATTACATTAGCTAGATGCATACTCTTATAGCATGTACTAACTGAGTGGATTCATTCAAATGAATAAATGATATGATTATGATATGTTTTTTCTTTCTTTTAGGTAGTGGAGAAAGAAGGATATCTTCTGAAAGCTAAAATAGCAGATGGTGGCAAGAAATTAAGGTATTATATTTCAATATTACAGAACTTACAGTTGTAGAATTTAGAATTTGTATGTGTTTAACCATGTTTCGCTATTACTGCTTATAGACAAAATGCATTTGTTTCAATATTGAGCCAATGCATGATTTCACTTTTGGAGCATTATGGCCTTCCTGGCCCAGAAAGCAAGTGACATCGGCTAGCAGCCTGATTGTGTGCTGCGAGCATGGATCAGCCTTAGCCTCTCTGTTATACATATTGTGTACATGCTAGCACAAGGGCAGTGGGCAAACAGATAATATACTTTTAGGTGGGCAAATTTTAGGTGCTGAGTGTGTGTTTGAGAGGTCAAGGATAAGATGTAGGTACCTGCCACGTGGTGATGCCACAAGGAGTCATAGGTGAGATTATCAAAAGCAGTCAGTACTTACTCACTTGGCTCTTTCTATTGAAATTAATGTGAAACTTAACTCTTTTATGGAAGGATTCACTATGGTCTGCTGTATTTAGGTGTCTGTAAAGCAGTAGCAGTGATATGACCAGTATGGTATATCATCAATGGGAATAAGAGAATAATGTGATATATTCAATTTTCTGCCTGGAGAAAAGATCTGTTTGCAAGTTCTTGTACGTTGTCTATAGTGCTAAAGCACAGGGATCTCAGAAATGGTGATCGAGCTGGGAACTAAGTGAGAAACCAACTAGGAACCTGCAATGGCTTAGAAGTTCCTCTTCAGTATATAATCGTTGTTTCAGAAATCAGAGTTTTGTTTACTTTTATTTCATCTGCAGCTTGACATACAGCACTAGCACAGCCTGATCTGTAGATAAGCACACGCCTCCCTGAGGCCAGATTATAATTTAGGAGGAACAGGTTTCCTAGCAAGCTTTGCTTGGAAGTGTTCTTTTTTTCATTTTGGCGCTATGCAGTATATTAGTGGTAAGTTGAGTAGGCCTCCAGGTTTCAGGTTACCTAGATGAACTAAATACAAAGGCATGTTGGTATATCATTTGGAAAGGACGCATATTGCAGTTGTGTTTTAGTTTTGTAGCTTTAGCATTGTTTAAACAGAGGTTGTCTATGGGTAGAGACTAGGCTCTTAAATGATGTTAATTTGCAATTTTCTTTACAGAAATGCCTAAAATGTTTACCTCCTAATCATAAGGTTACAAATATAAGCCTAGAATATTACTGAAATATGAACGAGGTATTTTACATTTATATTTTTAAATAGGACTAAATAGTATGATGTGTTTTTAAATAGCCTCAGAAATTGTGAGCACCATTGATATTATAGTGTGCTGCCATCAGGTGTTCATTTGGTAGAATGCAAATACATCAGTAGCTCTAAGACCGAAGTGTTGACTAAATTGCTTTATTTTACAATCTGTAAATGTCGGATTTCATATTTCAGGGGCTCTCTGACAGTATGTTTCAACTATAATTTTAACATTTCTTCTCTATAAGAATTCATGCAATACACTTACTAATTCTAGCTGGGTATTCTCTGCATAATATTTGTTATTTTTTATATGGACAAAACATGGGCAGTGATTTATCCACTCTGCATGTAGTGTATGACTTCTCCCTTTATTTACCTAAGGTTGTTTCTCATTGACTGGCAGTGATTTTTTTTTGGAATAATATTGGTAGCCATATGCCAAAAACTAGAAATATTGCTAAACAGACTTTTCTGAAGAGGTGGAAAACGTGTGTCCGGTGAAATGTGATGAATGCCCATCTGTACAGAGACTAATACACCTTAAAGCATTTTATATTTCTTTGAAGTCTGACTAACAACTTTATGGACAATCTAATAAAAAGGTTGTCTAGTTCATATATCTTTTGTTTTTAGTACATAAAAGCAATCAAGTTTTCATTTAAAATCTCGGTATTTTTATGAAACAACTGTATTGTAAAGAGATGAGAGAATATTAATATAGGAGAAAAAAACACTTTGTTCATGTATTGGGGTGAAATATAGTCACATACTCGTAGCTTCTGCAGTTGCTATATAATCTTCTGCAAAAAACACCAAATTTTCTTATCCCTGATTGAGTCAAAACATTCTCTTCTCCCTCCGAAAGAACCAAAATTCGCTAATTCTGACTCTTGCCGTTTGGTCACTCAAATTTTGTGTATTGAATCTTAAATATTTAAAAATCATCATGTTTGGGATGTTCTTACTAAGAAGTATTTGGAAAGTGGTTAAAAATGCATTCTGGTAGAAATTCCTGAGCAGTTCTGGTTCATCAATTAGAATATCACAGAGTGGCAGAGCGCTGCCATCACAGCGTATCTGAACGCTGATAGTTTAGAATTAGGACTCAGAAAAACAGTGGTTATCAGCTTGCTGTGCATATGAAAGCACCAAGATTATATCTTCACCTGGAACTCAGATGAAACTAAGTTTTTAATGTCTCTGAACTAAGTTATTTGTTCAGTTCCTCTCTTCCCTTTAGTTTTAAGCATAGACGAACCATAAAACTCAAATGAAACTCAGATAAAACATAACCTTTCCTGATATTAAAAAAAAAAAAAACAACATGTATTTTGGCTACTGACTTCTTCTTGAATCTTAAGTTCAAAATCATGAATATGACTGAATTTTCTTGAACGGGGGTCAAAGTTCATTTGAAAAATTTTCACCATATGGCAAACTTCCCAGGTAGTTTGATCAGACATTTTAGAAGCTTTAGAGAATTCTTCACATAAGTTTGGACCTCAAAGTATGGTTGCTGTCTCTTATTTCTCAGATAACGGGACCCACCCCACAAATAGCTGGAGCAAGCATGGCTCTGTCTAGTGGAAGAGGCATAGAAATTTTCCTATCCATAGCTAATGTCAAGCATTCCTTTGCAAGTTGGGTACTGAGACTAAGCTGTGTCCTGAGGATTTTAATGTATGCCTTTAGCAAACCATACTCACCTAGGATATCCAACCCATAGGGAAAGCTGTTTAAACTGGCATACAGCAAGCTTGGCCACCTATGCCCCTCTACATTAAGGAGAGCTTTTTTTGGTGAAGATGGGGTGGGAGGGAGGAAAAGGAAAGTAAAGAGCAGTGAAAAGCTGTACTTACCAATAGAAAACGTGTATTCACTACCTTGATGATGATCATTAGCTACAGTACTCATCTCCCAAGGATACTGTAAGAAATAATTAAAAGAGGTGATTGAACTGTTTTTCACACTGACAAGCACTACCTGTGGTTATGACCATCATTCACCCTAGCTAAGGATATGGCTTGACAGTAGTAATAAATTTAGCTGAAATTTTCAGTGATTTGCAATCACTTGCCTTCTGTGGGAACTAGTTTAGTTCCCACACTAGATAAACTAGATAGTCAGGTACTTTTCTAAAACTCTGCTTGTCTTTCTTACTTTTTTTCCTCTCTCTTTTTCCCCATTAACACAAAAATAAAAATGTAGTCCTTTTTTCTCCAAAGATATTCATCTCTTTCAAAGAGTTGTTTTCACTTATTTGGTTTTACTGTGAGTTGACCATATTTTAGTGATGACAGTCACTTCACACTGGGTGAAATCCTGGCCACACTGAAGTGAGTGCACGTTTCTCTGCTGATGTCAGTGTCTTTAGAGCTTCATCTATAATATTAGTTATGCTCCTTCAGCTGATGACTGAAACCTATTGAACAGCAAGGTCATTAATAGTAAAACTGCCTATTATTATGCCCAACGTGTAGTACGACGGGATATTGAGTGCAGCAGAGCTTTGAGGTGAATCTGGAAGTGAGAGTCCCGAAGACAGTCCTTTAAACTTGGCAAAGCCAGGTTTTCTTAGAATAAAAAATGAGTATGTTTGAGTAACTTAGGAATACTTATATAGACAGAACTCGGAGGGAATAGGGAAAACAAGAGAGAGAGACAAAGGGTTCATAACAGCTCTGCCTGGTCCCACTGGGTCCTTGCAGGCAGGTCTCTCTGCTTTAGGCACATGAAACAAAGCTCCTTTGTCACATGTGGTCAGGTTTGTTTTAAAATGTTCAGGAAATAAATAGTGGGGTTATCTGCATCCAAAATCATAGAGAGTCAGACTTGAGACTTTTATCTAAAAATAGATTTTTTTTCTTTCTCTCTGACCAGCTCCTTTTGTTTATGATTAGGTGGTGGTTTCAAACACTGCAGTATAGGAGTATTAATATGTATATAGCTTATATACTATGTTCCTCAGTGTAGTGACACACTGTCTCAAATATCCATGTGTATTTTGATTTCTTCATCCTGGCTTCTGCAGCTTGCCAGCTCTTTAGGGTTGTACCTGAGCTCTAACGTTTTGTGATTACTGAAGTCTCTTTTGAAATAGTATTATTTTTATTTCTCTCCTGTATATTTTTAATTTAGAGACAGGGAGAAAATATTCAGGCACTTCCAGCATAGACCCTTTGCTGAGCTCCATGTAGTCAGATTGAAGTTGTATCATCTTTGCTTTTTCCATCTTGGTTCTATCACACCAGTTATCAAAATGACACCACTCTGTCTATAGCTCAGAGTACTCTGTTGAACTGCGCTGCTGACACTGAGTTTGAGTTTGGATCGTTTTCATTTCTGACATGAGGGATTTGAAAATCCAAGTCTACACATGGAGCTACTTTTACTTCCTGCTTGCATGTCTTGTTAATCTTTTTTGTTGTTGTTGTTTTATTATTTTTTAGGAAAAACTGGTCCACATCTTGGATTGTTCTTACTGCTCGGAAGATGGAATTTTACAAAGAATCCAAACAGCCCGCTTTGGCCAATCTGGTAGGCAATTAACCATCTTTTAATTTCAACTATTTCAGAATTGTTACTTTAATATAAAAAGCTGGATACTTGTATACAAAGAACTCAGACTGAGCTGACAACCTTCAAAGATTTGAAAGCAGTTGTAGGAAAATGCCTTGGTAAACTTTTAATCAGACGTAGAGTAGGAGAAGAAATGGGACTTAGCACGTCCTTTATTAAGAGGTGCATTTTGAAGATAATTGCAAAGTGAGACAAATGGTGAGTGACTATCCAGTAATGTGAAGGTAACACTTTAAATTAAGGTGCCACTTATAAATGCTTTATTCTTATTTATGAAAATGATCACTAAATGCAGCTACTTCCTCAAATAATGTATTATAGAGTATGTTATAAAATGCATTAGTAATAAACGCTTAACAGATGATGCGATGAGAATCTGTTGCAAAGGATATTGTGAGACGTAAATTGTATTAAACCATCTATGTGCATCTTTAATACATGAATTTAAGTTGTTATCCACCATCCTATAAAGTGGCTTATACATTAATAAATAATAATAAACTATTTATAAATGGCACCTTAATATAGGGTGCTACCAAAGCAGCAAACACTATAAGTTAGCAAAGTGATTTTTTATCGTAGTATAAATGTGACATCTACCATATCCAGCTAACCTTCCTGAATATTTCCATGACTCCATGTAATGCAGCTAATGCAATTTCTGTAGCCTGTAGTTACTACAAAGTGAAATTTGCAGTACCTTTTTATTGTGCCCCAAGGAAAGGCCACTGATCTTAGTCTTCAGAGATGTGACAGATATGTTGCACAAGCAGTAATGGCACGTATCCCTTCAGTGCTAGTTACTGTAGAGTTTGAGCCTAGAAACCTTCGTGTGGGCAACAGAAGGGGAATTCAGTAAATGTGTGACCCTGTGGGCAGCAAAGGGGCAGGTTTGACAAAGCCCTATTGTGAAAGGTTCTCAAGGCCTGATCAAACCTGCCATACCTCATTGACATGATGGGTGGTCACGAAGGTGCTCTCTTTGGCAGGAGTCACAAGCAATAAGCTAGTTTGTATGTGGAAGGTGATAACAATCCGTTTTAGTTCTATATTCTTGACCTACCGATATAGTCGACCATAAACTTAGTTTAAAGAATACTTTCTCATGCCTTTCTTTTTTGGTAATAAAGTGAGGCTTGTTGCAAAAATATAATAAAAAAAGATGAAGCAATAAAAATAAATAAGGGATGAAATACGACTGTATAATGTTGTATTTCTGAAGCTAAGGAAACTGTATAGCATAAGTTAATATGTTTTTAGAATAATCTATTCTCCTTAAAATTCAATCAGAAACTATTCCAAAAAAAAAAAAAAAAAAAAAAAAGAGAAGCCTTGTCTGGAACTAAGGTGATTTAATAAAACATCCTATTCTTATAACTTACTGGCTGTCTTATACTTCTACCTGCTGGATGGGTGTTGCTGTCACAGAATCAACGTGTTATGGAAACCAATTCATATCATATTTGAGACACACTGAAGTAGCAAATGCAAGAAATTGTTCTTCCTCTGGGCAGCACTAGATGGAAGCTGTCAAGAGGACATTTTTAAAAACAAATGTATTCTCTTCTGTTAAAAAAGCTTCTAAAAACAAAGAACCTAAGATAAAGGTGTATGCATGAAAAATTATGGTTAAGTGATGAGTTGTCTTGATGAGTTGTCTGCATAGAAAGAAAGCTTTCACAGATATCTCCAGTGCTCACCTGAAGGATCTGCTCCAATGATGTCGTGACCCCACTGACTGCAACTCACACAGAATGGGCAAAAGGGCAGCTGAGGATGCTCAGCCCCACTCCTGCGGCACCTTACGCCTTGCAGACTCAGGCCTTTAGCGCCATAAATGTATTTAGGCCCCTTGCTGCTTTGAATTTTGGTGGAATTTAGATGCCATGCTGCTGATCTGGGTACAGGTGTTAGCTTCATTTATAGAATCTGATCTGGTGCAGGACTTGGAATTTTGCAAGCAAGTCAAAGCTCCAACAGGAAAGTTCATCTATTAATTTTGCATTTCATGACTTCTGTGGATTTTGAAATTGAATATAATGTCGATTCATTAGTGGAAGAAAAGTTAGCAAACTGGAAAAGAAATAATTTTCAGGTGCCAAAGATTTTCAGGTTCACCCCTCCCA